TGCCCTTTCAGCCTTGCTTGCTCACTTCCTTTGACAGAACATAGGCATGAAGCTGAACATTATGGCTGGCACCACTGAGTACTTCCTCATTTACACACCCTAGTCACGTGTGTGGCATCTGTATGACTTCCTTCTGAGCAGGATACTTGTCTCTGTGTTTATTACTTACTCATTCTCCCTTTCTCATCATTCTTTTTAGTTTTGAGATTATAAAATAATTACATCATTTCCACCTTCCCTTTCTCCCCTCTAAAATCTTCCATATAACTATCCTTGCTTTCTTTTAAATTCACGGTCTCTTTTTCATTAATTGTCATTACATACATACATGTACACTATATACATATGCATTCTTAAACATAACCTGCCTAGTCTATAGAATGTTTTTTGTATGTGTGTTATTTAATACCCATTACACCTGACATTAGAATACTAAATAATACCTTGCTCATAAATCATACACTTAGTATGATTCTTATTTGACCCACAACCTAACATTTTTTTTTCTTGAAAAGAAGTATCTTATTAGAATAAAATAGAATAAAAGAAAGAGTTGGTTTTTTTTTTTAAGTTTTAGGTACCATAGGGATTATTTTCCCATACTCTCATGTGACCTGGACTAGGCTGACCTGGAAGATGTCCCCTGATCCCTTGCTGGGAGTACAAGTATTCATGCTTATGCATGGCTTTCCATGTGGTCCCCATGCTTCTACAGAGAACAACTGACCAAGCCATCTCCCCGGTCCCCAACAGCTGGCATCCTCACGAGATTCATTAATATCCTTTCAACAGTGCAAGTAGGAATCTTCCCAGATTATGGACTGCCCACAGCAATGCCTTCCTGCATGAAAGGCAAAAGAGCCGCTACAGGTGCAAGGAAACAAACTTTTTAAAAACACATGCTTTTTTTTAAAATTTCTTTACACACTTCATTCAAATTTAGATAAGGTTTAACCAAGAGCTTTATCCTGATCGTATGAATCCCTTTTTAAAAATTCCTTGAAAATTTGTTTTTAGCTCTATTTGATTAGTTGAAGGTATTAAGCATTACTGGTACTTAAATTCACTATTTGAAATTTTTCTTGTTTATACATTATTATATTTGTCTAATAAAAAAGCTACTGTGCTCTTAAAGCTTATTTCTACATTAATATTGGATAATGCTGTAGGGATTATTTAAAATTTTAATATTATTAAAAATTAAAATGTTCTATCAGAATAAGTACTTATGTAATTAAAGTTTATACATTGTTAATTACATAAAAATATATTTTTATTTACACAAATAAAGTTATACAAATATGTATTAAAATTACTAAATTTAAATTGCAAATTAATGAATAATATTTCAATAAATTGTGTACTACATAAATTTTCTGTGCTGTTTGATTTTTGAAAGTAATGTTACATGATTTTTAACAAAGATTCAAAATACTCTTATGTGTATACTTGCTGCTGTAAAAATAAAACCAGTAAATGATGCACTTAAATTAATAAATACAGATGCCCCATCTAAAGTCCATTTCTGAATGCTTCTCATTTTCCAAACTGTCCGTCATCTGTGACAGTACAGGTGAGCCAACTGCAATCCAGGTTCACTGCAAGAGGTCCTAAACCAACTCTGATTTCTATGGTAAACACAATTAGACATTTATATTGAATACAAGTTCTAGGTTGTTTCAATGTATTAGTAGTATGCATTGTCTCCTTACAACAATCAATCAGCTTACACCATTACAAAAGCTTCTATGACTATTTTACAATGAAGTCTCTCTGAAATCCATGTCTAGTTAAATATTAATGGTTTCATTTTATAGAAAAATTCAAGTCAGTAATACTAGACTTGATGCATACTAGGTAAGGAATGGGGAATAAGAGTCCTAGAGAAGTGTTTAGAAGAAACCATTAAAAGACAAAAGTATTCTACAAGATTTTAATTACAAAAGTTGTCATATTCCATAAAGGGTGGGCTAAAAACTAAGAGATGTGGAAATCCCAGCTGGGTACAATGGGGAAATTAAAACAAAGCAGTGATTATTGGGCAAGGAAGAACCCAGAAGCATAAATCAAATGGTGATCATAGAACATGAAATCATAAATAAAGAAATTACTTAAAATTTTAGTAAATAAAAATACAAGTGACAAAATAGCTTTACTAAGGGAGAAGAAACCATGAATCCAGGATGGGAGAAGGAGGAAAATAGGCTTCGTCTGAGGTCAGAGGAAAAAACAACAGTATTACCAACATTTGCCATTTGTTTTAGTAAAATCAGAAGGGACTAAGGACACACTATTAGCACAATTAAAGAGTTGACATATTTATTAATTCAAGTAATCCTCTTAAAGAAAATCATGAAATTTTATATCTGGGAATCCCATAGGAGGATGCCCAGTCCAACTCACTGCTGGTGATTGGAGCAAACAGGTCAGTAAGGGAGGCAACAAGGCAGAAATGTTTGCCATCTTGTCTTCATAGCCTAATATGCTTTTTGTTGTAGAAGGGGCGGCCGGCTGTGTTCCTGCCCACCACCCGGCTAGCTTTACCCGAAATAATTACACGGAAACTGTATTTTTTTAAAACACTGCTTGACCCAATAGTTTCAGCCTCTTATTGGCTAACTCTCACATCTTGTCTTCAACCCATTTCTAATAATCTGTATGTCACCACGAGGTGGTGGCTTACCAGGAGCATTCTAACCTGTGGCTGTCTCGGAGAGGAGAGTCATGGTGACTACCTCACTTCCCTTCTTTCCAGCATTCTGTTCTGTCTACTCCACCCACCTACGTTCTGACCTATCAGGCTAAGCAGTTTCTTTATTAATTAGCCAATGAAAGCAACAGAAATACATAAGACTCTCCTACATCAGCTTTTTACACCTATTCATTGCAACCAAATTTCTTAAAGCAGTGTACTATATATAGAAGTTATTAATAATAAGTGTTTCCTGGAAGGTAGGTCATATGTGAAAGTCAATACATGACCACAGTTAGAATCAAATTAAAGTAGTAAAGCAAGTGTTTCTATATTATTTAAACGTAGTACCTAAGAAGATACATCTTAATAGGTTCTATGGAAATTTAAAAAAAATAATTTTCAGCTAGTGAAGGAGCTAACTAGAGGGAGGAGGGAGAGCAACATAGAGAGAAGTAGGGGCAGGGGCAGAGGTTAGTAAAGAGAGGGTCAGGAGAAGGCTACATACAGAGAGAATGGGGGAGAGGAATGAATGAAAGAAGAGGGGAGAGAGACAGAGGAATAAAAGAAAGAGGGAGGGAGGGAGAGAGAGAGAATGAGAATATTTCCAACCTGTAGCATTTCACATAAGAAATACAGGTTACTTTATATGGCATCAAATAACATTTCTACTTAACCCAAGTGATGATAACATTTTTTCTTTAAAAAAAAGTAGTAGCTGGGTGGGTGGTGCATGCCGTTCATCCCAGCACTTGGGGAGTAGAGCCATATGGCTCTAGATCCACTATATAGATCTCTATATAGCAAGTTCCAGGACATCCAGGGCTATGTAGAGAGACTCTGTCTCAAAAATATTACTTATTTTTGTGTGTTCCTATGTGTTTGTGCACATGCACATAGATGCACACATGCCAGGGCCTGCAAGTAGAGGTCAGAGAACAACCCAGATGGTTGGTCTTATCCTTCCACCATGTACATACTGGGGAATGAACTCAAGCCATCAGACTTTGGCTGCCAGTACCTTTATACCAGCCAATCCCCTCACCTTGAGTGTGAAGTCTGATAATCAAAGTCAAGCCTTTCTCTACACTTTATCCTACAAAGCCTAAGTACACAGAGGCTTTGTACCATTAAAAAAGTTGGTAGAAAATAACACATAGGGGAACTGTTGCTTGCTCTACTCCTCTTAAGACATCAAACACCAAGGAAGACAAGTGATCATTCTTAACAACACAGAGAAGAGCCACTTAATCCACCAGGATGCTAAACAATCTGGTTCTTTATATTCTTGGGAGGTTCAGACCTTCTTCCCATAAGTTACATGCACTAGTTCAATGTTTAAATGGCTGAAAAAGTCTTCCAATTTATTTGTCAACACAACCCAACAATATGCTGTTTAACATAAATATTCTAGAGTGCCAAATAGCTTTAAAATTTCATGGAAAACTTCTTATGTAAGTAAATATTGTGACCACAATTATTGTTACTGAGGAAAAATGGGAGCAACAATTTCAATTACAGGAGGAGAAACAGGCTGTCATGTTAAATTGTTCCACAATTTCTCTTACAATTGCTTTGACTTAATATTGAGTGAGTATAGGAATGGTTTATGCAATATGGAAAAATCAAATGTGAAATTTTAAGCCATGCTTTCTTGTATTTTGAAATGAAAAAGTCATCAATGCCCCTTGTTTGGGCGTGTGCACATACAAGCAAACCCTCAGGATACAACTCTTTTAAGATTTCAAGCCATAGAAAATGCTGAAAACAAACATCTTTTGCAGGAATCCACTGACCCATTTTTCTTAAGGAAATACTGCCTCTGGGTTTCTACTTGCACTGAAACCGTAACAAACAGAGCTCAATCGTATCCTCACAGAACCTATCCTTCAAGTTGCACAACTGACCTTTGCCACAAAAATATTACAGGCATCCATGGCCTTAGAGGCGCACAAGTGCATGATGGAACATTTTGAAACAAAGAATTGTGTTGCTTTTCTTGTATGAGAACCAATTTAGATGTCAAACACTTCTTTGCATTTCCTTGCATATTTGCAAACATGGCTTTTAGTATTACATTTTTCACTTAAAGGAAAATAATCGATCACTTTACAGGCTAACAAACGATACCTTCTTCAGTGAGCTGCACAGAAGAAAAATTAAGACCATGTATTTAGCAGATTTTTCAGACACAGAAAAGAGAAAACTGAATGCATGCACAATCCTGTCTCAGGTCCTGGCATGAAGACCGCAACCCGGGCATCTCCAGCACAACGCGCATGTGCGAGGTGGAGAGCACTGTACTCACCCGTCTGGCTGAGCTGCGATGTGCTTCTGCTTCTTCGAGAGACGATGGCGACCACTTTGGCACTCAGGCTGGATCTCCGCTTCTTGCCGCCTGCTCCAACGGTCCCCACAGCAGTGTCGGACTGACTGCCGTCATTATGCTCCAGTGTGTACATCTCTCCACTGACACTGGTGCTCTTGATGATGGCTCTTCCTGACGTCCCCATCCGTCTGCCTTGCATTTTGGGGGTAAATGAACTATATTTACAAAGTAAAAACATATATGCATCCATAAATTACAGGTCAGCATAACTGAAACTATAAAACTAAGCTATTTTTTTGACGTAATCCAGATACATCTTTTTTTTTTATTTTCAGGTGAAAGAGCCAGCTGAGTGGTAGCCCTACTATGTCAGTTTTAAGATTACATCACTTTTCTTTCTTAAAATATTCCTTTTATGTGCATGAGTGAGGGCTAGAGAAGACCTGTGTGTGTACCAAGAGCCCATGGGAGTCAGAAGAGGGCATCAGATGCTCTGGAACTGGAAGTTACGGATGACTGTTAGCTGTCATATGAATGCTGGGAATTGAACCTGTCGGGTCCTTGACAAGAACAGTAAGAGCTCACAACTGTGGAACCAACCACGTCTGCCTACAGCCCCATTACTTTTCTTAAGATGATTGCAGGGCACAGATTGAGCTATGACATTTAAACACAGAAGTAGTTATGGCATGTCTTCCTTCTTTTCCTTTTTTCTTCCTTCCTTCCTTCCTTCCTTCCTTCCTTCCTTCCTTCCTTCCTTCTTTCCTTCCTTTCTTCCTTCCTTCTTTCCCTCTTTCCTTCCTTCCTTCCTTCCTCCCTCCCTTCTTTTCTTTTCTTTTCTTTTTCCTTTTCAGACACGGTCTAACTTTGTGGCCCATGCTGTCCTAGAATTTGCTAAGTACAACAAGCTGGCCTCAAATTCACAAAGATCCACCTGACTCTGCCTCCCGAGTGCTGGGATTAAAGCTGTGGACCAAACACCACAGTGCCTGCCTCGAAGTTATAGACTTTTAAACACAGCAAAAAGAAATATCTCCAGTGCTGTCCCTAGGAAAGAGTAAACAACTCATAATGTTCTGAATCTTCGTGTGATGAAGACCATCTCGGCCATCACATATTAGTCCTTTCATTTTTTCCTTCTTACTTTGCAATACAAAGTCCACATTATAAGTAACACGGAATCGTTAATAGAAATACCTACATTTTATGTTAATAATAACAAATCCTAGTCTTTCTATGAATAATAAAATAAAACCAGTGAGGCTTTGTAACTTATTTGTGTACACCTACATGATGTCATTTAAATTAAAGGAAAACTATTAAAATATGCGTTCAGGAAGATGGAAGGGAGTGACCAGAAAGATCAGAAAGATTGGGGCTTTTGAATTACAGGACTTGCATACTAATAACTGAGAATGACTTTTTTTTTCAAGACAGGGTTTCTCTGTAGCATTGGAGCCTGTCTGGAAATAGTTTTTGCAGACCAGGTTGAGTCTGGTTGGCCTTGAACTCACAGAGATCTGCCTACCTCTGCCTCCCTAGTGCTGGGATTAAAGTCATGCACCACCACCACCCACAAAACTGTCTTTTGATATGAACTGTTTAGAATATTTAACCTTTAGCTGCACTACCTTCACAGGACAACATCAGAATTGAGCAATATGAAGACATTTTGAGGTGTTGGGGTCAGTCTCAGGACCTCAGACATGCTAGACAGGTACTCTACCACTGAATTATGCCCACCTCCAATCAGCAATGAGGCTATTATCTCCAGTCTTGTTACAAACAAAACTTTTAAAGTTTTAAACCATTTGCAGATTTCAGCTTTTGTAGCTTGTTTTTCAAAACACTGATGAGGATAGAAATACATGTGAATGGTCAAACGTTGACTTGTATATGGTCTATATTAGCAGCTCTATCCGAAACAGCAAGCACGGGGCTGACATGAGTCTGCACAAGGTCCTCTGTGCATATATTGCAGCTTTTAGCATAGTATTTTTATAGGACTCCTGACTCAGAGAATAAGTGGGTCTTTGACTCTTGTGCCTGCCATTGGAACTCTTCTCTTTCTGCTGGGTTGCTTTGTCCAACACTGATATGATAGTTATTTTATCGTTTTTGCTTGTTATCTCTTAGAAGTCTGCTCTTTTCTCATGAGAGAAAAAGAGTGAATCCAGAGGGGAGGAGACGTGGGGTAGGAACTGGGAAGAGCAGAAGGAGAGGAAACTATAATCAGAATATATTGCATGAGAAAAGAATCTATTTGCAATAAAAGAAAAAATATTGAATAAAAAATAACAACAGCAGCAATAAATCTTCGAATACGTGTTATCACAGTGCCCTCATGAATTTATTTGAATGGATTATAATTCTATATCCTCTTTAGGCATACTCTTGCTATCTCCATTTCCTATTATCTGTGTTTGACTTGCCCAATTATGTGGTGGATCGATATAAACTGTCAAGCTTGTTCAACTTCTCGATCATAAATTATGCACCTTAAACTTATTACTAAGAAATCAACAGCATTGCATCTACCATTGTCCATGTGTATGTTCATGAGTATGCATATGCATGTGTACATGTGTGTGTCCATTTGTGCATGTGTATGTATCACGTGTGCACATGTGTATGTTTATGTGTGTATACATGTAGGTTTTCATGTGTGTACATATGTACGCACATATAAGTGTGTGCATGTGTTCATGCGCATGTGTGTGTGTTCATGTGTATGTGTGTGCAGGTGTATGGAGGACAGAGTCAACCTTGCATTTACTTTTTCAGGAACTCTCTACTCAGCTTTCTGAGAGGGTCTCTCATTGGAGTCTGAGGCTCACCAATTATCCTAGGCTGGTTGGCCAGAGAGCTCAGGAGATTTGCCTGTCTAGATTTGCCCTCCCAAATTCTGGGATTTAAAAGATGCCTTGCTGGGTTCCTATGCACGTGATGAGAATCAAAGTAAGCTCATCATGCTTGTGTGTCAGCCACTTCATCAGCTGAACCACCTTCCTAATCACCCACTAGTTTTTGGTTTTGTTTATTTGTATTTTAACACATTATATTCAATGGTTTTTCAAGTCTCTCTTTTTAATTATTTTCAATTTTATAGTAAGGTATAGTGTAGGCAAATAATTATAGTAAGGAATGAACATGTATCTGATTTCTCTTTATTATATCCAAAAATGGAATTCTATTATTGCTATCAACTTATTTTTTAAAAATTATAATTTCATTACTCCTTGGTCTTTTGGCTAAGATCAACTATGAAATGTCATTTCACCATCAGAAGTACTGTGAAACTCAAAGCATCTTCCCTTAAGCCAGAGAGAAGATAAAAGTTAAATCAAATGCCTCTAAGCATATTTGTATTGTGAAATATATATAGGATAAGCTGAGAGGGTTCAAAACTTTTTATGAATATTTGATTATAGCAATGAAATATTTTACCATGCTGACAAATGTTTTTGGAAGAGCAAAAATTTGAGTAGCAGTGGTACCATTTGATAGGTCTACATTTTTAAGTTATGGTAAATAATTCTATAAAAAATTTAAATTATTTCTCCTTGAAATCTGAAGTAGTTGCTTAGATGCTTACAGTAATTTTTATATAAAAATATCTATAGCTCTCTAAACGTCTTAGAACACCTGTGCTGTTCCATAAGAGAGGTCAGGCATTTTCAGTTCTACTGACCTACCAACATAATCAGTCAGATTCATGAATACAAGTTTAAGGTTTTAATAGAAATATGCTTTCTACGACACAATGCCCCATTTCTGAACTTTATTCACTATGCTTCTGTAGCTCTCCACAAAAGGATGGTTAGCCCCTATTGCTGAAGACAATGATTACAAAAAGTCATTGAAGATGGAGAAGTCTAGCTGGTGCGTACCTAGAGCCTTCACCCTACTGACTCGTGGTCATGTGACTGGAGGCTACTCTGCACTTTACCAAAAAAGAAAGGTACATGATTCCAGCTACAAGCCCTTTTGTGTACAATGGTGACCTCCAAGATGCACTAGTTCAATGGTGGCAAAAATCTTGTGGGAGTAACCAATATCTGATCCAATTTAAAGTCCACTCCATGAGACAGAATTAATTCCCCAACATACTCAGTTGACCAAGAACCTGAAACTATTATAGACAGGGACGTATGGGAAAATCAAATACTATTGTTATGCTCAAAGAACATAGGAATAAAATTATTCCTAGGGACATTCTGCCAAGCTCAGATCAATGTCTTGCTCAAAGAGACGTTTTCTTGCTGCAGATGAGAACTAGAGAAGAACACACGCAATGAACAATGGGCAGAGAGTCTGAGACCGTGGAATGCTCAGAACTTGTAAAACTTGATTTCAGCCAAAAGGCTGAGAAGTGATCAATTATTTCCTTAATGAAAGTTGAGAGCAATAATAGAATTCCATTTTATGGACATAATTAGGTGAACATATACATGTTAATTTAATTGACTGAGTTCATTGAGTTGAAAACATAATTTCAATGAAGAAGCTGGGATTTTTTCCACAAATCACTCTCCTCAGGCCTCAGGGAACCCTGTGGAAGAGGAGGCAGAAAGAGGGTATTGGGTCAACAAGGTCATAGAAACACAGAAGGACACAGAGACCATGGTAGCAAGCATAAAAGATGCACAGGACTGGGCCCAATAGGGTCCTAGTGCTGAGAGGTGGAGTGGACACAGTTCCCCTCCTGTCCCTAACACAGATGTTAACTTTGCTTGAAAACCACTTCAAGGGAATCTCACTGGGCATACAAACCACTGTAAGGGCAGGCTTCATGCCCAGCAATAGATCAACAACACAAAATGAACTCAATGACATTTTTGAAGATGGTTTTATAATGGTCTGTTAGGGTTTTTCCCCTTTCCAGGTCCTTTGTGTATATATTATGGTTTTGTTACTGTGTTTATATAGGACATACGTTTGTGAAAATGTGTGTACCTCTGCATCTATGTGAGCTGCTTATGCCTTTTCTTAAGAGCCTTTAATTTTTTTCTTACAGGAGTTTTCTATACATCTTCCTCATCTTTTGTCATTTTACAAACCTAAACTTTGTGTTAGGTTTGTTTTTATAAATTTGCGAAAACTGGCTATCAAAGTCACCACTGTAACACATAAGATCAGGTTCTTACTGGCCTAGAGCACGTTTTCCAGATCTGAATTCATATCAGCAACCATTCTCTCACTCCAGCCATCCTCT